CACGTAACATGAAAAAACCAATCAACCCGCAGTTTGTTATGGCTCCGACAACGTGCACATTTTGGCCGCGATTGTTTGTCACAGTATACTTTGCGCAGTTCACACCAGTGAACGGCCCCAAGTGCCTACGCAGAAGTGATAGCAGTTAGTCTCTTTAATTCACACCGGTTGCCGCCATTCTATCTGGCAATTCAGCAGCTTCATGACAAACGATTTCTGTCGCTTTTGTTCTCCAGTATGTTCATTGACTCGATAACAGCGTGCAACTTCTTTATTGTTATCAGCCGATAGGCTAGGTAACGCGCGACGGTACTGGTACTGATCACAACCTCGTATTCAGCCTTCAACGGCAAACTGTATGTTGCAATCCTTATCGCTGGCTCTTCGGACTCCCAATCCAGCAGAGAATCTAAGTGCCTTTCAGTCATAACATTGCGACGAGCACCCTACGTGTGGTCTTCTGGTTTCTGGAATACTTACTTTGTTATTTAACTCCGACAGCATTTGAAATTCGCATTAAGCAAACTGGTGACGTGCATACAATCGTCTCCCAGCTCATAGGATTGCATTGTACGGTTCTTCAGTTCCAAAGAGTACCGAACACCCTGGCCCAATCAAGTCATGTCGTGTGCGCACAAGGATATCTTCACAATCAAATGAGGAAACATTGCCTCGAAGCTTATTTAAGCAACACGAAAATGTCCATAAATATCACCACCGTCCGGCATCGTGCAGTTAGATGCGTTTTGACAATTTATTGTCAGCGGACCACAAAGCAACGCTATTTCATGGACAATGTTACCTCGTAGCAAATAACTTCTTTTGCACAGGAGAAACTGGTACTTAGGTTGGCGACTGCAGCTTTATCTGTGGCCAACTTATACGGTTGGATGGATTGTTCCAAGATAACTTATCCTCTTTACTTCGCATATTGCATTCTTTATGCTTAAATTCACACTTGCGTCATCTTTCACTTCCGTGAATCAAGAGAGGCTCCATGGACCAAGGCTAAAAATGATAAATTATGTCTATACGGGTGCACACATTCCCACATAAGGTTGCCACAGAGAAAGCATCAGTCGCGAGCCTAGGTAACAATGTCTCTGATGTATTGGAAAAGCACTGTCGCAAATCACTGCGTCCCGACGGGCTACTCAGTGTACTTATGTCGAGCATACGTTCCTCACTAATGAATACGAGGTCAAGAATGGCCGGTTTATTTCCTGTTCCGAAGCTCGTAGGTTTCTGTGATTATAAAGTGGTAGTCCAGCGAATAGTTATTACACTTTGGCTTTCTGTGACTCACTGAAGGTGGCTGAACCTCTACATCATGAAAGCTGAAGTCTCCTGCAAGCAGAAGGATATTGTTATGCTGTGCTTAACCGTCTGCTGAGCAACAGGTAAACAGTTGTCCATATCTACATTTTACTTGGGTGGGGACGTTACACAATGGTCAAAAAACATGTCACCTAGTCCGAGTTGCAAGCAGCACGGAAGCCAGTCAACGACGTGAGACCCTGGCTATTAAACAGTTCGGAATGCATACCACTAATATGGTACAAAAGGTCGTGGCCCCTCTACTTTTTCGATGATATCGTAAGACGGACATATAAGATAAGGCGACCTTCGCATCCCCAATTCTTCTTGAAGCCAGGTTTCGATTACTGATTACTGGTTTGAAGCAGCAATCAGAGATATTCCTTTGTAGATGCATCCAATATCACTAAGGTAGAAATACTCGTTATATTAGAGTGCGCTCGATATATTTCATATCGGCACTGTTTGTCCAGAAATTTCATGTTTTCCGACACCGACTTTGTCTCAACTACGTGCGCGGCAAGTTGATCCACACAGTGGACCATCTCCTTCCAAAATATAGATTGTGGTCGATCCGCTTTAAATCCAGTACTACAAGCCTGTATCTGTGCCCCCTTGTGACGAGTTGTGCACACATATGCCACAGCGGTCTCAAGATGGAATAATCACCGTGATGTGGTATCCGGTGTTTCATGATGAGGTTACCCCGAATTCGATGATGCGATAAGGTATAAAGCCAGAGTCTCCTACACCGGTCTTCACACGGCTCGCTTCGAAAATTAGAACTCCATCCCGTGGGGAACATACTTTACCCGCTCAATCCGTTTTACCTCGACAAGGGTGAGGCGGATCCTAGCATTGGTCGCATTATGCAGACGAAGAGAGGAGTGGCAATCCGTTCGGACTAAGTGCCAAAGCGTACGTTGGATTGCCCAAAGCATGAGAAGTTGGTGTCCGTAAATCCTATTTGTGTTTCCTATACGCTTTAGGTTTCAGCGTGATCTTGCCCCAGGGTGTCGAGGCTTTGAGACCAATAAGCTCTGAAAACTTGCTGAGGAGGCCTTGTGCCTTGTGTAAAAACAGGATAGTGTTGCCAATATCGCACCTGTGTTTGAATGCATGGGTATGGGGTTATATATCAAAATGACTTGTGTGAGGTCGTCACGTAATCTTATTTGAGGTGAACTATTGCTATTGGACTTTGACCTTTCGCTTGTCGGTTGCTAGGGAGCGCATGTGATGAAGTTCCGTTTAAAGTGGTACTTAAGCAAATCACTGTTTCTGGGGTGGCTGTCACGCACGGCAGTTTTAGTACTCAAAATAAAGTTTTGCTGCTGTGGTTGATGGGCCACTGTGACTTCGTTCTGTCTTCATGTACTGGCGTGTAATTTAAAGCTCCTTCAAGCGATTATTCGATATGAACTTTCTACCAAGCTTGTGACAATTTTCGAGTGTTTATTAAGCAATGCGTTTGCACTGAAGCACCACTTGCAACACTTGTTCTACCTGTGTCCAAATGGAACGACCGGGGTATGCAAATCGGTCATGTTAGATGCTACAAAGTTCACATGCGCCTAAGAAATTTGTTTTTCTACAAAAATTTAATGGTTTACTGGCAATGAACAGAAGAGCTAGAGATGTTAAACATTGTTTAACAATATGTTTGGTCATGGTAGGCCATTTATAGCCACATTCGCTGTTTGCGTCTGCGAGCACGCGAAAACATGCCCAGAGAAGACAGCTGGCCCTCATGTTGCACTGAGGGGATAGTGCATCCACAGTTCATCGTGGCATGGGTTCACGCATAATCTGGTTCATACCTTCACTAATTACGGGACTTGTTAAGCGCTAATTTATTGCGGTGGGAATTCATTAGCGCTGTTCGTTCACCCTTCATGGGGGTTTGAAGCGCATTCTCGCATAGAATTCACTCGCTTAGTCTATGTAGGTTCCACCCATGCTTGATAGACAACCAGCGTTATCAGTGGAATATGCACTAAGACTGTCGCCTTATCAGCCGCATTAAAGTCTTAGTGCGCAGGTTGGTACACAGCTAATCACCTTTTTATGTCAGGAAGCTTTGTATACTGCGGCCATTGCATCAGTAACTTCGCCTACCTGCACCGGTTTAAGTACTTGTTAGCCTTTTGGCCACAGCTAATTGGGACGTAAAGGCTCATTACGCCATACGTATTTTGTATCTTGGCCCGCATGCGTAATGTGCCCATCGCATACAAATGATTGCTCGAACAAGCATTCGGATGAGTTGCACAGGGGGCGGTGCGGGGCGGCAGGTGCGGTCCGCATCGGGTGGCTGGTGACAGCGGACGGCATTTTAATACAAATGCTTGTTTACTACCAAGCGTACATTCACCAAAATTAGTTTCATGACTAAATTGGTAAAAGCGAAGAATGATGATCATATTTTGACCGAAGAGGAACTTGGTGCTGCCAAAGCTGTGATCCGGGCAAAAGAAAACATTATTGACAGAAGGGATGCAGCGAGAAATTTTTGTAATGCTGATGCAGTAGAGGCGCGCTAAAATAAAAGCATTAGCAATGCAACCACATATTTTAAAGGAAAATCACATTAACCGCTTATATGGAAGCCCGTCTTTGTGCACTTAATATTGTTCACGACATTCTTACAATGCTTCTCCGAATACTACCTACTGTCTGCCAGCATATCCATCATCAATTTGCTAACTGGTGCTACCCGTAACGAATATAAAGCTGACGCTGAATATCTACAAACTAATTGGTTACTTTTAGTCTTTGCGAAACGGTGAGCAACGATTGCGACACCCGTGTTGCATTCTCCTTCTCCGAAAATGCATGACTTTCCGAACAGATATGATTTTCTCACATAATTAAATCTGCTGGACACTAGGTTTGTTTGTCCGCTTAGTAAATTCAACTAAGATAGGTGAGTAAAGGAATCTTTGCCGGAAGAAGAATATTGTGGTAATGTGTGAAAGCCATTAAAAACTAAAATAAATGGACCTTCTAAGGTTTTAAGCCTCATATCTAAATATCACTTGGGAATCTGCTGCACATATTTCTTACCCGAACTTGTAGCATAACCAGCTGCGAGAGCGCATTCTTCAAACGTAAGCTCATAACACACTACCTTCAATCTTCATTGAAACAGACATGGTTCACGGAGTCGCAGTTCTCAGCATAGAGCGAAATTGCCGCTGGAGAGTGTTATCGATGCTACTGCTTCAAGTAATGCGTATAACGTGTATCTTTACATCTCGTTCACGGGTAGTATAACAATAAGATTTCTGTATTTATGGCAACACTGTAAAATTGGATCTTTGCATACTTTTTTACTAAATAAGTTATTTAAGATGTATGCAATTTTATGATGGTTTACGGAGTTGAAACCGCCGGAGGGGGTTGCAAGTTCACGTCCGCCCCGGACGGCAAGAGTAGTTGCTACGTCACTGCAAGCATCTGGTAACTTTAGGTGCAATGACACTAGCTACCGGTTGTGATGGAATGCGCAAATATATCAGATCATTGCACCAACGGAATTTGCTAAAGAGATCACCCGCAACAATTTCCCAAAGCTGTTATTCGAAAAACAATTGCGGATTTAAATAATATATTTTTTAAAGCAAACTATTACAGAAACCATAGTTTTGATTGCAGGATTTTGGCAGTTGTTTTCGATATTTTCATGGGCAACTTCTGTAGAAGAAAAGCAATATTTAAACCGCTAACCGTGACATGTTTCATTGCAAATTTGCTACCATTAAGTAAGGAGTAACTCACTTAGCTGCAGTCGCACTCTTTGGACGAAATATAATCGTTATAGTGCAATTTTTAGCATCCTTGTAAGTCTTTGTTTCGCCCACCTTGCCGCTATACTTTTTGCCCTCATATTTTGTATGCAAATGGCCTGAAATGTAAACGAGTTGGGAGAAAATTTTCAAATAATAAGCGATGCGTTCAATGGTATGGAACAAATTAAAATAAACACAAATAATCCGGCAATAAAATTGTTGTGACCCTTTTGTGTGGTTCATTCACTAGTAGGTATTAAAACAAACTATTCTACTAGAATACATAATACGTGCAAGTGATTACCCAGGATTATATACATATATATATATTCTTTTAGTGGGTTATGGACAAAATATACTCGGGGTATCCCCTAGCTATGCTACGTAGTACACGGATTTGCAGAGCACTGATATCTTGAAACTAACCTTTGTTGTCTTTGTATACACCTACGAGACTTGGGTACGCGTTTATGTGCCACGTGAAGGTAAACAAAAGCGAACACATTGTGGTCACTGTGATAAAGTTCATTTTCTCTTCACGCTGAAATGTCGAAATTATTTTTAGCAGCACTGAATATAATAAATAGTATCTGTAATCCACAACAAAAGGTTTCGCGACACTTGCCTTTTAGAGAAATTTGACGTCTTGGAGAGTATTTTTCGTCCTAAATGTATCTTTGATGACGCTCTGTCTGCTAGTATCGATACTTATAGCTGTTGTCTGGGATCTGTGTTTCGCTGATTGGCGTACCCAAGGTTCTATCCGTTGGATGGTTCGCCTTGAATTAAAAGCAGCCATTCGCATTGCGACATGGTAATAACCGTGCAATGTTTGGCAGAAGGCCATTTTTGGGTTTTACTTAGCATACAAATCATATATATATTTTTACATTATACACGTCAGTTAGAGGTGTAAAAAACATACCTCAGCTACTGTGACGCAATACATAAAAGAAAAATGAAAATAAATACAACAACTGCATGCCAGCTGAGCTACGAGCAACGCATGGGCATCGTTCCGGAGAGCTACTAGACGGCTTCTAGGCAATACGAATAATTTATTATGTAAAATTATATTACGCTACGAAATGAGATCGTTGTTGGTGGGGAGGCTAAAATTGATGGGGAGGGACAAGGAAAATCACAGCAGGACCACCACTGAGGTCGGCTTCTAGCCATGTCAGCAAGTGTATATAGCCAAACGTGTTCATCGTCTTTTGGACTTCAACCACGGCGCCGGGAAGTTTCAAACGTGGCCAGCTTCGAAGTGAGGTCCTTCATTCCTCTCAACCAATTCATCGCTTGGCCACCTCTCCTCTTCTTGCATCTATACACCCGGCGAGCAAACAGCGCAGTTCGCGGGATTCGGTGGGATGGCATGCGCAACACGTGGCCCAGCCATCGGAGCCTGGTGCGTGAATTGACAGTGCTGAGCGGTTCAATTCCTTTTCCTGTGCCATAAACAAGGCGTCGAACACGCTCGTTGCTCACGCAGTGTCCCCACGAGATGTGAACCAAACTGCGAAGACTTCGATAATCGAACTTAACTAGCCTCTTTATGTATGCTGATCTAAGGGGCCAGCTTTCACTACTGTACAGTAAGTTCGAACGTACCGCAGAATTGTACACTCTACCCTTCAGGGCGAGAGTAATGTCATGCCACCATAAGTAGCGAAGACTAAAAAAAGCACTTTGAGCTTTAGCTATGCCGTTCGTGATCTCGTCTTAGAAACCAAGGGTGCTGATACAACTTCCCAGACCTTCGATTTTCTGAACGACTTCTAGTTTATCTTCACCAAGGGTCAGCGCAGGAAGCGATCCCTGCCATCTTGGAGGAAAGCTTTGCATTTCGATGGTGAAAAGCAAAGCTAAAACTGGCTGACAGCCAGTGCCAATCTGTCCAGTGCAACATGGCGCGTTTGGGAGTTGTCAGAGATGAGGGCAATGTAGTCTGCATGCTCCAGATCAAGAAGTCGTTCTCCTAAGAGTAACTCCACACCTTCTAAGTCATGTATTATAAATGCTCTCTCCATGACCTTGTCACTAGAAAAGTTGAAGAGGGAAGGTGGCAACGGGCATCATTGTTTCCCACCGCTAGGTAAATTGAAGAACAGAGACAGCTTGCCATATTCCCTCACTTTAGCCGTGCTACGCTCGTATAATGCTCGGATATTTTTACGTATTTTTCGGCACCCCATTCTTGAGTAGACAATCCCAATGGGCACATTGATCTACCGAATAGAAGGCACCTTTAATGTCTAGAAACACAACTACCGGGGGCCGCCAATATGTGTGACCGTGTTACAGCAACTGACAAAAGGTGAATATGTGATCAATGCAGCCACGACCCAGACGAAACCCGGCTTGTTCCTCACGTAACTGGCTTTCACGAGCCTCAGTCAGTCTGTGAAGCAGGACCGAGGCAAGTAATTTGGAGGCGATGGGGCCTGACTTATTCCTCCTTTGAAGATGGGAACAATAACGGAGCGGCACCAGTCGGTTCTGGACAGTCTCCTGCTTCCACAGTTTTACTAGTAATTCATGTAAAGCATCAACAAGAATAGAGCCTCCGATTTTGGTGAGGGCTGGAGGAAGATCCTCTGGTCCTGCGGCTCTGTTCAACTTCAACAGTCCGATCTCACATTAGACTTCTGAGCTAGATGGTGGATCAAAATGTACAGCCCACAGAGCAGGAGGATCACTGGCGGGCGAAGAATCTTACAAATCTAGCCGATTAAATTGCTTTTCAAAATGCTCAGCCCAGCACTTCAAACGTTTTGACAAATTGTGGATAGGCTGTCCACTCTCATCGCAAATTGTTTCACTAGAACCAGGTCTCCTGCTGCCCGCTTTCTGTATCAGCCGGAATAACTACCGATGGTTACCGAGGGCAGCAAACACTTTCATCTGTGACACAAGAATAATCCACCAGGATTCGCGGTCTCTCTTCAGGCTAGCACAGAGTCTTGCCTGGAGCTCTATGCGAGTTTTATTGTGTTCGCTTCCAGCCAGAATATGCCGGCTGACAACGATAAGTGACAGAGACCGCGAAGAGACCCAATGCCCATGTTGGCTATTAGACTTACCACATGAGGACTTGCCTGCTGCTAGTAAGGTCTGGTGTACATGCGACGAGTGACCTTCAATTATCTCCAGTACGCGCTTACTCAAATGGCATGTCAGCGTACTTTGATGGGCATTCAGAACAGCTGGCTTTATCAGTTGGCTGGTGTTAATGCGCTCACAGTGGCGTCATGGGTGTTCGCCAAAATGCATTCGCATGTCAACACATACTAGTGCATGGTTGGTGTCCACACATGTGCTCCAAAACGCGCGACAGTGCTGGATGCAGCCTCTCCAGAGGTAACTGATTGTAATGTGATCGATTTACGTCCAAGGGTTGTTCGAGACTGGTGAGTACCAAGTCACCCTCCGGTGGGTGCTGTGTCGGAAGTAAGTGCTTGCAATAAATAAGCGGGTATCCTCACACAAATGAAGTAACCGCTCACGGTTATTATTACGGGAGCCTACACCGTAATAACCGCCCAGATGCATTTCATCAGTGGACAAAATTCCATTTTGTGCGTTCAGATCCCCCATCAGCACAACAGTGTCCTTGCTTCTTTTGCGGCGAAGGAGCTGGGTCATTGTGCAGTATAAGTCGCTTTTTTTGAATCACTGCTAGAATTTTGGGCGCGTCGATAGCGATGAAAATAAACACCTATTAGTCCCGCGCAACTTCGAAGCTTTGAACGAGCCAGCCGATCGGGTTGCACACTTCCGGCTACTGACTGGGGTCCAATCAACAAGAGCAGCTTCAGCCCGGCGACTTAGGGCAATTCCAGCACCAGCTCGGCTGCTGCTCGTAGCTGCGTCGTCACCGGATAGGCGCAATGAGAAAGTGCTGCTGGTGTCACATTTAGGGGATCGCAGAGTGAGCACAGAGCTGGAGTCTAGCAGGCGGGTCTTCGATAAGCAACCGATATAGATGAAGAGTGTCTCTAATGTTTGGGCAAGTGCTGCCTGTTGATCGATCTGTAGTAGTGTGTGTACATTGAGTCATGCCAATCTGAAGGAGTATCAAGGGCTCCTAATGGAAACCGAAGTACTGTGTTTGATCGCTTGGATGAACATGGGCCTGTCAACATGCCAGGCGTGACGCTCTGCGTTTACAAGTGAGTTGAAACTAAAAGATAAGGGGCTGTCAAACATGTTGCGGAGGGCCAAGAATCGGGGGGTTGAAAACTGGGGGATAAATGTGAACTTGGAACGGGACCATAAGGGAGAAAATGTGTAAGAGGGGGAATAAGAAGACCGGAGGCTTGAGCAGTAGCATACAAACATCTATTCACTCTACTCGATGCAGTAGATAGGGCACCGTTAATTATCCTCTGCGGTGGCCAGAGCATCAGGAATTCGTTTGACAAAAGTTTCATAGTATTGCATGGATAGGATACTGACAGGTTGGGTGGAACTAGTAAGGAGAACGGTGAAGGTTATCAACTAAAGCATTTGGTTCAAAAACCTGACCGCAAGGTAACGGGTTTGGCGTTTGGCTACAAGGAGCCGTTTTAAGGAATAAGGAACCACCCTTATTCCAAGCCCCAATCTGGAGGACCAGGAGGCTGATTTTGCCTGGCCTCTAACCATTGACCAATCTGGTATGAGAGGCTCTGATGCAAAAGACACCACTGAGCATAGATCAATGGATCGCTGAGGCACACAAACCATCGCACTACGGTAAGGTTCAGCTTCATTGCGATGGAGCATACATAACGGCCGCGTAGTAAAGTGTAATGAAGATTCTTGCAATAAAATTTATGAAAAAATGGAATATCTTTTATTAAAAGCAGGGGAAAGATTCGTAGTGAAACACTAACTCGATAAGACTTGTAATGACCTTAGCTTTATCTAACCACTAAGTAAAGTACTGTGTATATAATGACCGTCTGTACTTCGAGCGTTTTGTACAATCATGTAAGTACATAACACCTTAGATTTTACGGAAAGATCCAGCGAATACTGTGCTGATCTACCTAGCAAAATGTGTTGATATAGAACCTTGAGTATTTATACGAGGAAAAATTTATGACAAGGTTGAATATAGCGTTTATTGACAAACATAACAAATCAGTAATATCAAGTTTAAGCACAATGCAGATTCTATTGAAATTGACTGCATGTGCGCCACTGTAATGTTGCAACTTCCTTGAGGATCTCTTTAAAATCTTAAGAATATAAAT